GTTAGAAAAAGAAAAAGACTTACTGGATTTTGGAGATTGGCGGGAGGACCAAAATCTATAAGTAGTAGTTCGGAGATTATAAAATTTAGTTTATAATATCCTACATCTACTAATGTCTTAAATAGGTCCAAGTAAATGAGTCATACCAAATACTCAGGCTATTGGAGCCATCAAAGTGAATTTAGAACACTTTGGAAATATTTGAAAAAGAGCTTGTATTAAATTATTTAAAATACAAATAAAAACCAATGTATTATCTCAATTGATCTTGATATTTTAGACTGACCGGAGGCCGTATTTCTACAGAGGTGGGTACTCTACTTAGTAGGTCAGCAAGCGGATATATGGAACATTCGATAGTAACAGTGTTTTGTCAACACCGGCCCGAATTGACTCAGCACATATCTTCCATTGTCGACTCACTTGGCCCAAGCTTCAAACGGGAATTTACTGACCACTTCTTCCCATCAATCTTTCCTGAACCACTACAGCGACTATGAGAGCCATACCATATGTTTCATACATACTTGCCATTTTTGAAATAAAATCATATTATCCCTATGTACGTACCTTCTATCCAGGGTTGTAAAACCCCTGTGGATTGAAACTCTAGATTTGTTTTTAATCGCGAAGTTTTACCTCTCTATTACAAACCATTCGGGGAGTAATAACTGCTAAAAAAAACCGGTTAATTTTATTTGCCATCAACTTGTGAATTGTTTTATTAATTTTATGTATGATTATAGTAGTAGTGTTTTTTTTAAATAAACAAACACCAAAAAAAAGGAGCGAACTTCGTTCAGAACTAAAAAAGTAAATAACTGATACCGCCAAGTGACAGCGCAAACAGATGAGCCGATGAGCCGATGATTTTTGTCCCATATCGATTTGAAATTTGGGCCGAATGTACAAAAAAGTCCAAATAAATATCAGTGCACTCTCAGAAAAAGCTGCTCATTCGGGACGAGTGGTGCGATTACATACAACGTACAAGGGAGGTTGGCAGATATAGATGATCGATGAGATGAACGATAGTACTTCAGATGAATGGTAGTACTTTAGATGTGATAGTACTTCAGATGAATGATAGTATTTCCAGGTGTTTCGATACCCATAATCCGGTGCTTTACGAAAGATCGAGGTGTAAGCCAAATCAATGTTCAGTTAGGTTTTGTAGACAATAGTAGCTTTTTAGTGCGTACACGTATACATGCGACATGTCGTACGGTATGCTGAATTTACTGACTTCTTCGCCAATGAAGCGTATGACCAGCTTGCCTTCAAGAGATACGACTGATTACGACTTTTCCGATCAAGCCCCTGTCTCGGTTGAAGCGACAGACCTTGAGACCGATGATTTTGTGGGTTTGGATGCGTTGGATGCCGCGGCAAGTGATAAGTATGGAGCTCGAGGTGATAAGGGCTCGGATGCTAAGAAAACGTCTTCGCTGTCTAATTCACGTACAAGGTATAGGACTCTTTCTCTTAGCACAAATAATCTCTTATCCTCCGGAGATACAGAGGGAGACAAAAGACTGACTTTAGAAGCAAATAACACTCCCGGTGCCGGTGAAAGGAGTGACCGCGACGGGGGTGTATTCGGGTCGTTTGACGATATCGATAGTCCTGGTGGAACGAGAGGAAGAAATCGAGAAAGAAGCTTAGTTTCACATGATCATGACACGTTTAGGCCTTCGCCGTTGTCCGGTGATGTAGAAGACGATGCGAACGATACAAACATGCTGACCACAAACGAACCGGGTGTCAGTGTGACTGGTACAAGCACAAAGGATGGTACAGCGAAGTCTGAAGGTAAAGATAGCTTGAGTCTCGAGAGCTTGGGCGGAGTTATGCCGTCAAGTCCAAAGATTAGGCGAAGTAGCTCGCGCGGTCCTAAAAATAGAGATGGAGAGACTTTAGATAACGATGCCACAAGCGGAACTTCCAGCGATAAAGAAGGAGTACAAAGGGCCTCTGGCCGTCCCAATTTTTTAGATGTTAAAACAGCCGAAGTGGTAGACTACCAGGTGCAGGATGCAGATCGCCCTTATGCAGTATTTCGCTTGGTAAGTTCCTACGAGTTTTGTATAGCAGTATCCAAACCGGCTATCCGCGGCCGTTTATATACAAGTTTTATATATCATATCAATACCTCGCGCTGTCACAGCAGTATATACTCAAGTATATTGTTGTATGTATGTAAATTTAAACGGTAACTTAATTATAAGTTGTGATTGTTGCGATTGCATCAAATGGATAGCAATGCGTCGTCTCCTCGTATTTTTTCTTCTTCTACTACGTCATCGTATATACGGGCGCACATACACACACATATATGTATATATATACATACATATATATATATATATATACA